AATGCTAATGAACAATGTAAATGATAACTAGGCTCTTAAAGTCAAGATCAGCACCCTGAGAGGAATGGATCTGAGATACAATAAATATTAAATATCATAACCATAATGATACTTGGATAGAAGAGGTGATTTCCAGAGGGTTGAAGAAGAATAGTAATGTCAGGTGTTTTAATTCAGTAAACAAGGTCACCTAAAAAGGGGCTGTAAACAAGGTGTTTTTCAAGGAACAATGGCAACAGAATGCCCCTCCCTTCTGGATTATACAGAAGGTATGACAAAGGCAAGCACTGGACTAAGGAATGTAGATCAACAAGGGACAGATAAGGTAATCCCTTGCCTTTGCTGACAAGAAGTGCCCTAAGGGACCTCTCGCAGGCCCCCATGACAAATTTGGTTCAGTACTTCCCCTGCCATTGTAGAAGAAACTCCTTCTCAGAGCAATTAAAGAGCTTAATGTCTATTATAATAAACCAAACAGCTCTGGATGATAGAACAACTTTAGAAAATAAAACAAAAATTTAAGGAGAAATTATAAATCAAAATTGATAAAAATTAGATTGGGAACCTCCCCAAAGTTAGGGTTAGGGAAGGATTTTGTTTTTGTCTGTCAGGAGAATGAAGGCTAAGGAATCTGAAGAACACTAGACAAATAAGATATCTGAAGAAAAAGGACAAATCATCCAGAAAAAAAGGTCCCAAGAAAAAGAAAAAATGGCCTATTAGTATATCACATATCTAACAGGATAAAATTTCATAGGTCTTCCTAAATGTTTGTTTCTGCTGTTCTCTACAGACACATAATGCAAATGGTCTTCATGTAGTCCCGGTTCAATTAAAAATTAAAGCTGGCTTTGGAGTTGGAGCATGGCTCTCTCCTTCTCTAAACCCAAGCATGCTTGTTAAAAGAAAATGCAAAAATGTCTATATCATGTTGAGAGAGCAAGACAAACTCCATTTTAATGAAAACTTCATTTCTAACAACACTAAGATAAAAGCTAAACCAAGTTCCAGAGACATAAACACCCAACTAAGACTCTAGTCAACCCCCACCCCCACCCCAGGGAACATAGGCAGTGGTAGCACATGCCTTTAATCCTAGCATTCCAGAAGCAGAGATCCATCCAGATCTCTGTGAGTTCAAAGCCACATTGGAAACAGCCAGGAGTGGTGACACACGCCTTTAATCCCAGGAAGTGATGGCAGAAAGCAGAAAGGTACATAAGGTGTGAGGACCAGAAACTAGAGCTGGTTAAGCTTTTAGACTTTTGAGCAGCAGTTCAGCTGAGATCCATTTGGATGAGGACACAGAGGCTTCCAGTCTGAGGAAACAAGATCAGCTGAGGAATTAGTGAGATTCATGTTACATTCTTGTACCTTTATAGGCATGTTCCTCTTTAGGTTGGCAAAGTTTTCTTCTCTGATTTTGTTGAATATATATTCTGTGCCTTTGAGCTGAAATTCTTCTCCATCTTCTATCCCTATTATTCTTAGGTTTAGTCTTTTCATGGTGTCTCAGATTTCTAGGATATTTTATGTTAAGAATTTGTTGGATTTAACATTTTCTTTGACCATTGAATCTATTTCCTCTATCATATTTTTAACACCTGAGATTCTGTCTCTCATCTCTTGCATTCTGTTGGTTATGCTTATATCTGTAGTTCCTGTTTGTCTACCCAGATTTTCCATTTCCAAAATTCCCTCAGTTTGTGTTTTCTTTATTGCTTCTGTTTCAATTTTCAAATCTTGAACTGTTTCCTTCACCTATTTGGTTGTTTTTACTTGGCTTTCTTTAAGGAATTTATTGATTTCTTCCAATTTTTGTTCATCTTTTCCTCCATTTCTTTAAGGGAATTTTTCATTTCCCCTTTAAGGACCTCTATCATCTTCATAAAGTTATTTTTAATGTTTTTTTCTTCTGCTTCTTCTGCATTGGGATGTTCAGATCTTGCTGTTGTAGGACCACTGGGTTCTGGTGGTGCCATATTGCTCTTGATGTTGTTGAAAGTATTCTTAAACTGCCATTTACTCATCTGAGTTTGGAATAATTATAGATACAGGTGTTGATTCTTCCTCCACTCTGTGTAGGTGGTGCCTATATCTCCAGGGCCCCTCTTCCTCCAACTGGTACAGGTGGAACCTGTGCCTCTAGGGGGCCTCTGATGCCACTGGGGCTGGTGGTGGTGGGGACTAGCCACAGGAATCTTGCCTGCTGACCAGCTGCTGGGGCTCTTCCTCCAATTGGTGCAGGTGGGGACTGTGGCTCCAGGGCCCTCTATATGTGGTATTCTACTGCCAATTTTTAAGAAGCCTCCACAATTATTTCCACAATGGCTGCACTAGCTTGAACTCTAACATGCTAGTGTGTAAGTGTTTCTCTGTCCCCACATACCCCAGCATTCATTGACATTGGAGTTGTTTGTTTGCTGGTTTGTTTGTTTGTTTGTTTGTTGGGTTGGTTGGTTGGTTTTAGTTTTTTGAGACAGGGTTTCACTATGTGTAGCCCTGGCTGACCTAGAACTCTCTCTGTAGATCAGGCTGGCCTCAAACTCACAGAAATTCACCCGTCTCTGCCTCCTAAATGCTGGGATTAAAGGAATGCACTGCTACCACCTGGTATTCATTAACATTTGTGTATCTTTGATATTGAACATCTCAAGGGATAAGATGGAATCATAAGTGATTTAAACTTGCATTTCCCTAATATCTAAGAGTTTGCTAGCCATGTGTGTTTCTTCCTTTGAGAATTCTGTTACTGCTATGGCCAATCTTAGAACTTGGTTATTTTCTTGATGTTTAGATATTTTAGTTTCATGGGTATTCCATTTACAAATCTTCTGTCAGATGTTAGCTGGGAAATTGTTTCTCCCACTCTTGGCTGCATCTTCACTCAATTAAATTTCCTTTGCTACACAGAATTTTTTAGTGTCCTGAGATCCAATCTATCAACAACTGGATTTACTTCCTATGCTACTAGAGTCTTATTCACACAATCCTGACTTATACTCATGTGTTGAAATGGTCTCCCTACTTTTTCTTCCACCAGGTTCAGAGTATTGGGTCCAACATTGAGGTCTTTGGTCATCTGGAGTTGATTTCTAAAGGAGAAGTATAGACCCCTGGTTTAATCTTTCCATGTGTTCCTGTGTAGGTTTTTCAGTATCATCTGTTGAACAAGCTGTCTTTTCTCCAAAGTGTATTTTGGGTTCTTTGCCAAGGGCAGAGTAGTGGTTTTGTGGATTTTATCTAGGTCATCTATTTGATTCCATTGCACATCTTTTTGCTATGGCTGTAGTATTAGTCTGAAATAAGGTGTGATGAATTTTTCCACAATATTGTTTTTGTTCAAAATTACCTTGGATATTTTCATCTTTTGTGTTTCCACATGTATTTCAACATTTTTCCCCCACTCTATTTGTAAAAAATGTCCCTGTCATCTCAATTGAGACTGCTTTGAGTATGTAGTGTGCTTTTAATAGGATGGCTATTTTCACATATTGATTCTTCCAAACAATGACCATGAAAGGGGTGCCTTAGCATCTTCTAAGGCCTTCCTTGATTTCTTTCCTCAATGTATATCTTTAAATTTTTCTTATAGAGTGCTTTCATTTCTGTGGGTAGATTTTTCTGTCCAAATTTTTGGGTTCTATTTTATTTATTTGGCTATTGTAGACTCATCAATATTTTTAAGCTGACATGGACAAGAGAAAACCAAATAGGAAATTTCTCAAGTGAAGCAACAATATAGTCTTAGTTTAGCACCCACAATGCCAAAATCAAGCCCCCCTAACCAGTACATCTGGGGATGCCCAGCCCTTGTCAACTGTCAAACAGAGGTGGTTCCTACTCCTGAGCTTCTACAAATCTGCTACACGTGTGGTCAAAGAATAGGATTTGTTCAACCTTGGCTTAAGTGAGTCACAGGTGGAGAACTGACCTGCCCCAGCAACAGGGCAGGGTTTGAATCTCACTCAAGCACTTACTCTGCAGGCAATCTTGGAAAATGACTCAGCTCATTTGAGTCTGACTTTTCTCACCCGTGAATTGAAGATCAGAATGAGTAAGTTGTAGGATGATTGGAAAGGTTTAATGCTGTTCATACACATCTCATAGTGTGATCCTTAGCTGATGGTAGCAATGTTGCTATTTTTCTTTATATTAAGCCAACCTTTCTACATGCTGATTATTTTTGTTGGGACTCATTAAGGTCTATTCCTTTCCATCTGGGAAAGGATGCAGATAGTGGAAAATTATAATCATGGCGCTCTTATGTTCTCAATCTTAAATTTTGGTCTTTAAATTCAAAGTCACTCAGTCATTGTCTTCATTAGATATTTTAGTTTATCTACAAATCAGGATGAACCAAGATGGTCCAGCTACCATGGAGTGTAAGAAATATCATCCTTCCTTCATACAAATAGAACCAGGGCTTCCAATTCTACAAACTGGGTCCTTCAGATGGCTTTGCTAAACTGTTAGAGCAGAGGGAATTTAGAGTTTTCTCAAACCCTTGGGGCTTATTCATGAGCTGAACTTTATTAACCCCCTTCACTTGTTGGTAAAACTAACTCACTGTTCCCATGTGCTCAGTTTTACTCCACATTGGTTTGGCCATCAAATCAAGAATATACATTTGTGGTGTGTGAGTACACAAGGTCAAACAAGGACAAGAAAGTAGCTTTCTACCCAGAATCAAATGTCAAATGAATTGAGCCAGCATGGGACTTGGTTAATTTTCCATGAGAAATTCAGTCTAGGATAAAATCGAGGCTGTGATCATTTGGGAGAAACATCTGTTGCTCATTCACATGTCTTCTCTCTTTATGATGACAGACCCGGTGCCTAGATTCCCTGTGTAAGCAAGGAAATGTTCACCTTCCAGATTATGTCAGAATTTCTGTAGTTCATTCTCAAAATCTCAGGCATGTGTGGGAGTTTCATAGAAAGCACAGGTGATTGGTGACAGGCATCATTACAGATGCCTCATCTCTCCTTTCTTCTAGGGGACCTCAGACCTGTACTGCCCATGATTCCTGCAGCCCACAAAGGTAACTAACAACTATATGAGGCCAAAGGAGCCAATAGTGTTCTGCTGGTAGATGATCTAATCCTTGAGAGAAGAGCAGTTGAGAAGGAGGGAGCCTCACTTTGCAAATCTCACCAGGACAGGTAGGAGAGGTGCATGCCCAGAGCAGAGTTCCTCTCATGCCCTTTTCTGCTCTCCATTTTGACAATAACTCCACTCATCTCCAACTTGAACACCCCACCAGGAACCCCTCCCCCTCATCAGGTAAATGGCCTCAGGAAAGGTACAGATTTTTTTCAAATTACCTTCCAGAGGAAGTAGGAAGCCGGGGGTACAGATGAGATGCATGAAAAGAGCCATAAGTGGGCAGCCAGTAGGAGACCTGAGGAGCCTTTCTATGCTCAGTGCCAGTCTCATCTTCACCCCTAGAATCTCCTGCCTCACTACACTTCCTGGACCAGCATCGGGAGCAGCTGGTGGCCCGAGTGACATCAGTGGACCCTCTCTTGGACAAGCTGCATGGTGTGGCACTGAGTGAAGAGGAATATGAGGTAGTGCGGGCTGAGGCCACCAACCAAGACAAGATGAGGAAGCTCTTCAGTCTCAGCAGGTCCTGGACCAGGGCCTGCAAAGACCAAGTCTACCAAGCTCTGAAGGAGACCCATCCTTACCTGATCATGGACCTCCTTGAGAAGTCGGGCAGGATCTCTGTGGGATCCTGACATCTTAGCGGCTGAGAGGTGAGCACTCTCCCTTGTGTCCTGCCTCTGCCTGTCCTTCCTGTGGCCATTGGTTTCTCTGTCTATAAACCAGTGACCATGTGAGCTGCCTTTTTGATGGCATGGTTTCTAGGACATCTCTTAGGGACCCAGATGTCCCCTCTTGGCCTTCCCCAGCCTGTTCATGTGGGCTGAGCATCTGAGGAAACCTCACTGGAGCCAGCAAATCTATTCGAGCCTTGTCCAGCCTGCTCTTATGGCCTGAGTGATCAGCCTCATAAGCATCTGATCCGCCATGATACAAGCAGGACTGGGTACATGGGAATGGAGACAAAGAGATGATACTTTCCCCTGAAAAGGAAATGTATTCTTAATAAGAAAGGAAGAAGGCTTCTTAAACATTTCCTATGCCTTTTTCCCAAATGATTGTTACATAACTCTGGGTATGTAGATATATAGGTATATAAATCAAACATTTTTGCTGAATATAAATCTTAAAGAAATTTATATTAAAACAACTACTTGTTAAAGATGACAGCAAATTTGAAAACTAATGAGATGGATTATTTGTTTATTTTTGCATAAGGAACTAATCTTTATTGAATATTTGATGCTATAAGTATTGAGAATCTTCAGTGTTTCTCACAGTTGATAGCTATTTTACATTCCTGGTACTTTACACAGGTGTGCAGTGCACATGCCAGGAGCTGGTAGAAATTCTGCCCTGACCCCAAGCCAAAATTCACTTTGCATCTCTCTATGTAACTCAAGTCAGCAACTCAAAACACAAATTTTAAAACCAAATAGTTTCACAAAATACAATGCAAAGATAAACTAACATACTTACATCCTAAGGAACAAAAATAGAGTTGGGCCATGGTAGCGTGCTCCTTTAATCCCAGCACTTGGGAGGCAGAGCCAGGCAGATCTCTGTGAGTTTTAGGCCAGCCTGGACTACAGAGCAAAATCCAGGAAAGGCACCAAAACTATACAGAGAAACCCTGTCTCAAAAAAACAAAAAAACAAAAAAAGAAAGAAAGAAAGAAACAAAATGGGAATATATATAAATCTTTACATTCCATAATTAAACCATCATGTTTTTATGAGAAAGAAAATCCCATATGTATGTGGGAAATGCTGTAATCACAGCACACAATAGCCTAGACTCTGAGCCAAGGTGTATCAGGAGCATAGTTGGAGTTGCAGTGTGCAGGCTCAAGCAGTGCAAAGTTCTCATGTTGTGTGCTCAGAGCTACAGATGTGAAGAGTCAGTCACATGACACAACATGGTACACACTGCAGAATCATCTCAGACTCAGTGCACGTTTGAATTAATCTTGGCCATTGCATTTGCCAAAGATTTTGCAACCCCCACATTTATTTCCATCATCCCATGAGGAGGTGGGATTCACAACTTAAGAAAGTGAAGTGAATTGGTAGAATGAGTGGCGAGCAGAAGGCTCCGTGGTTCAGAGCCCTTGCTGCTATTGCAAAGGACCAGAGCACTGCTCCCTGCACCTTCATCAGGCAGCTCACACTGTAAATACAGCCCCATGGGATCCAACAGCCGATTTTGGACTCCATGAGCACTGACACAAAGGTTCACATTCAAATACACACACACACACACACACACACACACACACACACACGATTTCTTAATTTTTATAAAGAATTTTATAAGTTAATTCCTCTCCACTGCTCAGCCACCTACCACAGTGGCACTTGAGTCTTGCAAGGCTGTATACTTGTCCCGAGGGTATCCCTGCCAGTCTCTTTCCCCAGGCCACCCGACTTCCCTTCTGCATCTAGCTTCTGCTCCCCTCCCTGCCAGGCCCATGGCCAGAGCTGTTAGCCTGACTTCTCGGTGCCTCCCATCTTTTTATTCCTCTGAACTCTGCAGATGCAAAGTACAAGCAATCTGGACAGTGGCCAAGAGTTTTGTTGCTTCAGTCAGATACTGGCACATTCACAGGGAAAAGGGTTAGAGAATAAACTATCTCATATGAATTTTCCTTCCAAGAAATGTCGCGATGCCCTTTCTGTGCTGAGTGTCTCAAGATGGGATCAGTGCAGTCTGCACAGCTGTTGTCATTTTACAAACACAGTGTGGTGTCACCAAGAGACTCCTGAACCTGCAGTAAGGTTCAGATCCTTAAATCTGAAAGGGAAAATAAGTATTTAGAAATGGAGACTTTAAAGTACACTTTCATCCAACAGGAGCCAGTGATTAGGGAGAGCTGTGCTTTACACAATGGAAAAGAAGTTTATTGACAAGGTTACACCCTTTGTGTTATTTATTGATAATTAAACACAATTGTGACAGTAAACTTCTGAAAAGTGAACTTTAAGATGATTAAAGATCATCTTAATGATCTTAAGATGATGCTTTATCATTTTTAAATGTCCTATAGTCAGCAGCTTGCCTAAGGAAAACTCATTTGACATGAGGCTGTAAAATGCCAACTATCTACTTAAGTGGCTGTCTGCTGGGGGGACAGAATTTTTTTTTCTGTAAATACCCACTAGTGAAGAATGTTTCATGTCAAGTTACCAGCTGTGGTTTTCCTGTCAATAAAATATGTTTATCAGTGTGACCTGCCACCAACAGTCACAACAGAGAGCAGAGGGAACCTGCTTCAGTGCTTGGAGTGTAGGGGAGTGAGGAGGTGGCTGCATTTTCCTGCCTGGTCCTTCCTTACATTGTAGAATTTTTTATTTAACATTTTGTGTCTTCCAGGAGAAACATTACAAAATTTAAAACCAAAAGCTTTGCTTCTTAACACCTCAAGTGTTTTACAGATGTTTTGTTTTGTTTACCAAAAACATCTTTACTTTTTGTCTATAAAAAAATCTTATTACAAAATAATCATGATTAGCATAGAAAATGGGTATATGTCTTCAAAGCATTTCCCTTTAACAAAAATTTATTTTATATAATATAAACATTAAAAATTTGGAGAGGAGGAAAGCCAGACTCTAATAAAACTCAAGGAAATCCATTGTTACTTCAGGCTCTTCTCCTCCAGGAAGCAGCATTGTTACACTGTTTCCATTTAGTAAAATCTAGTGTAATTTTGTATCCTTGTGGTGATACTCTGTTTGTGATCTAGCAAATAAAGCTTGCCTGAAGATCAGAGTGTGGAGCTAACCACTAGTTAGCCATAGAGGCCAGGCAGTGCTGGCACACACCTTTAATCCCAGCACTCAGCAGGCAAAGGCAGATGGATCTCTGTGAGTTCAAGGTGACCCTGGACTACATGAAATTGATCCAGTCTAAAAGAGAAACACAGCTCACACCTTTAATCCCAGTACTGGGGAGTCACATGCCTTTAATCTCAGCACTAGGAAGGTAGAGACAGGAAGGGATATGGCTGGGCAGAGAGAGGAATATACGGTGGGAGGAGACAGGAGCTCATTGCATTCGGTCTCAGGATTCATAGAGACCAATTAGATTTTGCACTACATATCCTTCTTTTGGTGTAATTTCAAACTATAACATCTTCCTATACCATATTGATAAAATCATCAAATCATAGAAGTATATCAATAATTTCTTTATCACTCCTTATTACAGTGTCAATTCTTAATCCTATATTCTTGTCCATAAGGTCTAGTGGCAGAAACTGCCAGAAGTTCATGGTCTTGCTAGCCGCTGTGGCCATGCAGGAAGTATGTTTTGCTTTTAACAAGCGTGCAGTACTTCGACATGAGGGATCTGGGCTGTGTATCAGCTGGTGAATGAGTCCAGACCTCTGAATCCTCAACATCTCCATCTTGCAGCAAGCTTGAATGAGACTAATCTGACTTGCCTGACCGCAGTGAAACAAGCAAACCTTCCCAAGGACAGTGTTTGCTCACCTTGGCTGCATTCACACTAGGTGGCGCTAGGAAGCAAAGTTTCATCAATTCTAAGGCAGACAGAGCCAAAGCATTTGAGTTTGGTAGAGAGGGTGGGGCGACTTCAGGGAGGGGATACAGGCAAATGTGTGGGGCCTTGCATTGCTCTATGAATATTCTCTAATAAATTCACTTCTACTCATTAAGATGAGATTAATGAGTCATTCTCTGTGCTGTTGAAATGTCAGAAGTTAGGGGCAGATGTTAATTTCATATCTCTCTAGAAGAGTCACACAATTGATCAACAAATATTTGAGCATATGTAAATGAGACTACACACTAGATGCAGATACAAACTGTGTGTGAAAATGTATATAATCAAGTGTTACTAATACATTATCAGATTATTTAAACTCAAAAAATTTAATTTTACTAATTGTTTCTTTTCTTGTCTCCTCTAAATAGTCCAAAAAAGTTATAAATGATTCTACAAAGTACATGTAGCAAGTGTATGATTTTCAGACTTCTGGGACCACACCTTAATAAAATAGACTAAGATTTATAAATCCAACCATGAAGCTTTATGTTAAATTACTCACCTAATCTTGCAGTGTTTTCATACTATAGTAACACGGCTTGAAATTGTTTTAATGTATCTCTTGAATAGCTTTGCAAATATGTTCTAGCTTAAAATAATCTATTTACTAGAAATGTTTTGGATGGAAAATGTTTTAGATGATAAAATAAGGGAGTTGTTCTAAAATAAAATGACAAGCAAAAAACACTCATTGGTGTGACAAAGTATTTATTAATCAACAAAGAGAAAGCCTTACTGATAAATGGGATACCTGCATGTAGAGAATGATTCTCTCCTCTACCCTGCAGAGCACTCAACTCCAAATGCACCAAAGACATTAACACAGGACCTGAACCCCTGGATCTGTTGGAAGGAAAGTGGGGAAAACACTTCCTTATGAAGACAGAGGGAAGGCATCTCTGAAGAGGACTCTGGTCAACAGGACAAACTGACAAATGGGACAACATGAAATTAAAAGGTCATATTTTGGGACTCACCCATGTTGGTGTCTGAGGACCACACAGCCAATGGAGCTATGCTAATCTGGATGGCCTGTGCTGCCACCTGGGTGGTCTTGGTGACATCCAAGCCCAGGCTGTGATGTAGGACTATGTCTGGGTCCATGGCCCTACCACAGCCAGGGTCTGGGTTGATATCCATGGTTCCTGATACCACCGATAACATCCAGGCCTGAGCTGCAGCTGGGAGCCTTGTCTGGGTCTGAGGTCCCACCACAGTCGGGATCTCTAATGTCTGGCCCGTGGTGCCACCAAAGACCACATGGATGCCCAGAGTCTAGGCTGCATCCTCTGGCCATGTTGGTGTTCAAGGACTGTGCCGCCACCAGGACCACACCAATCTGGGTGGATTGTACAGCCACATGGGGCCATGGTGTTGTTCTGGCCTGGGCTACTGCCATAGGCCATGTCTGGGTCCATGGCCCAACAGCAGTCAGGGTCTGGGCTGATGTCCATGTTACTGTAGGAGGTCATAGGAACTATGGGTATTGAAATCCAAGGGCCGTGCTGAGCCAGCCCTACCCCTCACTGGTCCCATAGCTTTTCCTGCCCTTTGCAGGACACTGCAGCAGCAGAGCTGGTCCTACCCCACCATGGGAGAGCTGACCCCCACAGTCAGGAGAGATGGCCCCAATCCTCACCACAGGCATGGGAGAGCTGGTCTTGATGGCATGGGCCTAGGAGAGTTGGCTCTGCCCCTCACCTGAGGGAGTGGTCCCAGTGGCCCAAACTGAACAGCTCAGCTACCATCCAGACCCACACCCTGGGCCTTGGGTGGCCCACCCTAACATCTGCCCCATCTGTGACCTGCTGGAGTGCGTGAAGGGACTGGTCCTGTGGAACATAGGCTCTCCATGACTCGGGGCAACATCAGGATGTCCAAGAGGTGTTTCAATGAGGTCCCAGTCATGATGGTGTGCCAGAGACCTTGAACCAGACAGATGATTCATTACAATGAACATTTTGCAGGTGTGGGACAAAAGGATATACTGAGGGACACACTGCAACTTCCAATGTCACTAGGATGAATGAAGAGGTGTTGGAAAGATGGAGGAGGGAGGTGGGTTTTTTGTTTTGTTGTTTTGTTTAGTTTTGTTTTGTTTTTAATTAATTTGGGGAGGTATGCCACCCAAGTGTTGGGTAGACATGGAGAGACTGGGAGGAGAGCAGGATTCGGGTGCATGATGTGAAATTTCCAAAGGATAAATAAAGAATTGTGTAAAAATTAAAATAATAATAATTTAAGAGTCACAAGTGGAGTCCATGACCATAACGGCTAGGAGCATGGCAGCGGGCAGGCAGGCATGGTACAGGAGCAGAAACTGAGAGCTGACATCCTGATCCACAAGCAGCATGCAAAGAGAGAGAATTAGAGACACTGGGACCTGTGTGGGCGTTTGAATCCTCAAAACCTACATCAGTGACACACCTCCTCCAACAGGGACACATTTCAAATCCTTTCCAAACAGTTGCACTAACTGGGGACCAGACATTCAAATATATGGAGACCAGTATCACTCAACTAGCTCAGCATCTCACCGCAGCCAAAATGGCAAATCATAAAGCAAAACAAGCACAAAAGACAAGTACTGCTGAGGGTATGGAGAAAGGAATCCTTACTCATTATTGGAGGGAGTTATAGTGGTTTGAATGATCAAAATATATTGTATAAGAAAAAATTTGAAGGGAAAAAATAAAATTAAAGATAAAAAGAAGAAAACAAATCTCCCAGGGCTCCAGCAAGATGGCTCAGCAGTGAAGGCACCGGTGTATAGCAATTTTGTCTGAGATGAAATCAACTTGGAGGGAAACTTGTTAAGACACGGGATGCGTCTTCATTTCCTTTCCAATGACGTGATAAACACCAAGCAGCTTGGAGAGGAAAAGGTTGATTTCACTTTACAATTTACCATCTTTCATGAGGAGGCAGGGCAGGAAGCAAGGGCCACATAGGAGAGCTGCTCACTGGCTTGCTCTCCAGGGTTTGCTCCGCCTGCTTTCTTACATAGCCCAGGACCACCTGCTCTGGGGTGGCACCGCCCACCATGGGTGTGGCCCTCTTATACCTATCATGTTTTCTCAGGAAGATTCACACAACAGGCACCTGCCACCAAGCTTGATGTCCTGAACTGGATCACAGGGTTACACACAGTGGGAAGAGAGGACTCCTGAATGTTGTCCTATGACTTGCACGTGTGATCCATGGCATGTGCACACATGCCACACATAAATTAATTAATTAATTAATTAATTAATTAATTAATGAACGAATGAACGAATGAATGAATGCTCATATTAAGAATAAACACCTCTCAGAGACTCTGAGCACCTCTGTGCTGATATTGTGGGTCAGGTGCTAACTTGGCACCAGGGGACACAACAACCAACAAACAAGATTCATCAGGTATTCCAGAGTTTCCACGTTCTTTGTAGGTAGAAGTGACAGAAAGAAAGCCAGTCTGTGCTGTTGGGTGGTGACAAGTGTCAAGCAGAAGAATAAAGGAGGGGGATTCTGGAAGGGCAGCTCTGCTCCAGAAAGCAGGGAGCAAGCTTCTGACTATTGGGAAGTCATTCCAAAAGAATGGAGAAGCCAGTGCAAAGGTCCCGAGGTGAGCAAGTTCCTGGTGTGTTCAAGGAATAGAAAGGCAGAGCAGATAACCCACAGCAGAGTGAGTGAGGAGCATGAAGTGGGATCTAATGTCAGAAAAGGGCAGGGTGGGATGGAGTGGGTCATGTAGAGCTCGGGACCACTGAAAGGAACCAGTATGTCCCTCACAATGAGACAGAAAGGATAGGAAGGTTTGACTAAGAGGTGACTTAAACTAGTTTACATATTAGATTGTGACTCTGGCTTCAAGACTGAGAATAGACCATGAAGCATCAGCAGGGAAAGTTAGGAAGCTGGAGCACAGACCCAGGATGCTGGCTGGACCAGCAGTCTCCTTGGGCACAGTGAGAAGAGTCAGATTACAGATCTGTTTAAAAGCCAGGGTCAGGGCTGGGGAGATGGCTCAGTGGATGAAGCACCTGCTATGCAAGCATAAGGACATTTGTCTGATCACAGCATCCTCACAAATGCATGCTGGGATGGCCACAGGCTTGTCATCCCACAGCTCAGGAGGACGGAACATGGGTACTCCCACCTGGCTGGTTAACTAGACTAGCCAAATCCATAAGCTCTCAGATAGCACACATGTACACATATGTGACTGCACGTGCACATCAACATGTGACTCCACATGCACATGATCATGCACACACACCACACACCTGCAGAAAAAAAAATGATGTTAGTGGAAATCAAAGAGCAGATTTGAGATTTAGGAGAGCCCTGGAATGAAAGAAGACCCACTGTTTGCCTGAGAGCCACTTCCTGAAATGAAGAGGCTGTGGGCTGGGCAGGCTATAGGAAGGAGAGAGAGTGCAGAGATCCAGAGCACAAATCTGGGGAGATCCAGGAGCCTTTGCTGAACTGAGACCTGTTGGCAAACCTGGGAGACCCACATTAGTAGATGAGTGAAGCGAGGCTCAGACATGAGTCCTGCACTCAGAGGCAGGGCCTCTGCAGGCCTGGATGAAGCTCTCAAGCCTGACTCCTCCAGCCCAGGCATCTGCCGAGATTTCACAACAGGAAATGAGATGAATAATCTTGAAACTGCACTCTCACAGCTCAGAAGAAGAGCATCTGCGCAGGCTCTCGGATTCCTGGCTTCCTGGAGGGGCCAGAGTCTCTTTCACTTTTAAAGAAGATGATTTCTAGCTGAGGAGCCTTGGCCAGGGACGCACACATTCGTGGGCCTGTGGAGGAGGAGGTGAGTAGTGGGACCAACAGAATCCACCAAACCATTTGAGTTGTGGGAAGATAAATCCTGGCCTGACTGCACTAAGACATACTGTGGCAGATATGGGGACCTCATCCCGAGAGCCAGGGCCCAGGCTCCAGTCCCTGCTTGGAGAGTATACAGGCCAGCTCTGGTGGATCCTAGGATGCTGGGTTCACCTTCAGCATCATGTACTTGCTCCTATCGTAGCCTATCCTGTACCCTCTTCTCTTCTGTCTGATCTGATGCCACAGGAATAAGGATCCCAAGGGAAGCCTGGGGACGAAAAAGAAAGAAGGTAAAAGCAGCAGCTGGGAGCAACAGGTCTTGCATAAGCTGATTGCTTAGGCCAAGCAGGTTTATTAGGAAGTATAGCAGCATTTATAAGATGTCAAGGTCGGCAGAGAGCTAAGTCAGACAAAGTGCAAAGGGAACATGGGATCCCTGAGACACCGCTGCCTTAGGACTGATAACCACAGCCCCAGGGGGAAAAGTCAGGTCCCCAGAAGCTACAACTTCAGTTCCTCTGAGGCACTGATTCCAGTGTCAGGCCAGCCTCAACAAGTCCACTCCTGGGCAAGGACACAGAGCTAATGTCACTTTGCCCTTCATCGTAGCCTCTGAGAAAGTCTTGGGTCACTCTAAACCTCCACACTTGTCCATGTGTCTCTTTGGTTTTCTCTGGGTAATTTGTCCTTTCAGCTTAGTTGGTTCTGGATTGTCCCGTGTGTCCCCCCCCCCCCCACACCGTGTGGTGCTCAGGGACAGGATTCTAAAGATTCCTTCACAGGGCCTAGCCTGAACTCAGACTGAGCTCTTGAGTCCCTCTGTGCTGAATCTCGCCACCTCATCCTCTGTCACAGTAATGGCTGAAGGCTTGATCTCCTTAGAGTGGGACACTAGAAAAGGAAGAAGCTGAGAACACAGAATAGTGAGTGTCCTGCACATTCCACCCCTGCATCCTCCATCCCTGTCTTCCTATCCTCTCATGCTCCTGTCCCTGGAATCCCAGCACCCCTTTCCTGCATCCCCCAACCCTTCTCCCATGATTCACATCCTCTAATCCTCCCAGCTGTCCTGCTCCATGTCCTGCATCCTTCCATCTTCTTGCTTTCCCATCCCTACAGTTCCCACGCTCCATTCTCCAGATGCCCACCTTCCCACTCCTCCCTCTCCAGCACTTCTCATGGCTAGGCCTGAGCCAAGTCTTTGCTGCTGTGGTTCTCCAAAGTTAGAGACCTGGATCTCCTGTCTGCTGCTGGTGGTGGGAACTGTGCCCTCCTCCAGGAACAGTGCTGCTTCTGCACCAACAAACCCAAGCTGTTAGAGAGGTCAAAGACTTAATTAAGGCCCCGACAGAGATTCAGTGACAGTCATCTTCCTAAGGACAGGCTTTTGTTCCCTCCCACTCTGACTCCTCCCCTTGGTCTCTCCATTCCTCCTTATCCTCACACTTCCATTTTCCCTGTCCTTTAAAAGATTTACACAAGTTCCTCCTGGATCAAATCACTGCCATCACGAGGTCCACACTAGGACAATGGCTGCCCTGGCTAGGAGCTTACTGGGTCCCTGACTTCAGTCTCATCTTACACTATAGCCCGTGTCTAATAACTGAGTTCAAAGGTTTCTCCAGGAATGAATGGTGACAATCACACAATCCACTGCAGCAGATGAAGTTAAACTCTTCCTGGTTCATGAAGTCACCCTAACTCCTTCCCCTTAAATCCTAGGGACAGAGCCTAGCCCCTTTATCCCCCTCCTGCAGGAAGCAGCAAATGAGAGAATATACCCCGACCTTTGCATAAGTCATCAGTGTCAAATAAATGACTTTAACGTCCTAAAAGAAGAAACCTTAGATGAGCTGAGAAACCTCCAACTCAGCTTAACATCACCTGACTGACAGGAAAGCCAGCACAGTAAGGAGAACATCCACTATAAAGAACACATCCACTGATAAACTCCCTCCCAGAGTTGCCTTATAAAGCCCAAGCTCTGCACCTGGACACACAGTCTCCATCCCCAGGAGAGCCTGGAGTCCTTCATGTGTCCTGACCAGAGGACAATCGGTCCCTATAGAGGCCGCTCTGCTCTTCCTTTTATTTCCAGGTCTCCTGCATCAGTTCCAGTCAAACACCCATTTCCAGAGCAGAAATGTCCAGCAGAGACAAGGATCCACTGGCCTCCCGCTCGGAGCAACAAGAGAAGGGGGACGAGAAGCAGGACCAGTGTGAGCTGCACAGCCAAGCATCATCTGAGGACTCTATCACCATGGAAGCAGCTCAGTCCAAGAAGGCGAGTGGCACAAAGGAGGCTCAGCATAAGGGCCAACAGGACTTGAACCTCATCCGCAA